CCCCCCCCCTCCCCCTCTCTCCCCTTCCCCAGGAAGCCTCCCTGGATCCACTTATGGTCGTTTAAAGATATCACTGGAGCTAAATGAACAAAATAGGCATTCTCTGTATTAACAGATACTTATGCGCAGTAGAAAATGCTGTAATTATTAGAAGAAATTGACAAAATCCCTCCCCTCCCCCTCCCCCTCCAAAGAAGCCTATGAAAATTTACCAACGCTACCTGTCACATATGGAGCATGGTTTGGTACATTTTGGCAGGAGGCTTAGATCATTTTTCTCGGCCGAATCTGCGATCAAGCTGAACGATACACGACCAAAATAGGCTGGATTACGGGCTGTGGTTCGCAAAGCTGAAATGAACGCGAATAATAGACTAAAGAAAAAAAAGCAAAAAAAAACACAAAAACAAAAATTTATGAGGGGCCGCCGTTCCCGGGGAAACAAGAATCTTCCATGCAGAATTTTATGAATAACAATAAAAGTTGAAAGAAAACAAGTACAGGCCTAAGAATCAACCCAAACGCCTAAGAATAAAAAAAAAGTCAAAAAACTTCTGGAACAGAAAAAGCAAGGGAGTAAATCCCCTCTATTTTTACTCCTATACTTCCCCCTCCCCTACTTCCCACATCTCGAAAATCTGAAAAAACCTGTAAAATTTATCACAATAAAGTAGTAATTCGATACCTGAATATTGGTATCTCACAGGCCTAAGAATCAACCAAAACGCTTAAGAACCAAAAAAAAATCAAGAAACCCTGGAACAGAAAAAGCCAGGGACTAAATTCCCCTTACTCTTACCTCTACATTTTACCCCTTCCCATCTTCCTATAACTCGAAAATCTGAAAAAATTTACCAAATTTACTAAAATAAAATAGTAATTCGATACCTGAATACTGGTATCTCAATGGTCCCATCCATCTGTAACGTTCCGAATCCGCTAAAACATCGCCAAGCCAACCGTATGAGATTGCATTTGCCGATATACGCATCAGATCATCACCTCTGTGTACTGTACATACATCTACCGAACATTTGCTCCCTGCAGTGAGTTATTGTTAAAGCCTGTACGCAAAAACTGGGAAAAAAGGAGCAGGAAACATGCGAAAACTGGAAAAACACAAAAAAACTGTGACCGAAAATAAAATTTTTTTGTTTGAAATTAAAAATTCAATAATGAAATCTGCATAAATATATGTATAGAATACGACAGAAAATATAAATATGAAAACATATGCATATAATATAAATATAAAAAAGCAAAAAACGTATAAATATAAATAAAAAATAAAAATATGCGAATATAAATATAAATAAAATACAAACATGTATAAATATAAATAAAATATAAAAATACATGTATATAATATAAATACGAATGAAGTACAAAAATATGTAAATTTAAATAAAATATAAAATGTAAAAATATAATATGAACAAAAAATAAAAGAAAATATGAAATATAAAATATAAATACAAAAATATATGAATATAATAAAAATACAAATAAAACATAAAACTATATAAAAATAAGCAAAATATAAAATGTAAAAATACAACATGAATAAAAAATAAAAAAAAAATTCAGCAAAACGGAAATGTTCCGATTCATCAAATCGTACACATTCCTATTCAGCACTACAACTGGATCTTGTCAGTACGACGGTTGTTAATGATGATTAATCACGAGCGATCGACCATAAACAACAAAAAAAACAAAGCAGATTTTGCTCATGATCAACTGATTGAAATGATCAAAACGACTACTGCTACACTGGAACGAAAACTACTTTTACATTATATACATTAATCAGTGGATATTTCATCACCGCGTTCTTTTTTATTATTTATACAGATGGCGAATTCTTCATTTTTCTTTATTTTAGGCCTTTCTCATCCAAATAATTCCATATAGCCGTTCAAGCTGAATCTCTTCAGTGCTCTGTTGGAAGGGGTTTTTTGGCTTCCAGTGTTTCTCTTTTTTTTTTGCAACTGATATAGATGGCGAATTCTTCATTTTTCTCTACTTTAGGCCTCTCTCATCCAAATAATTCCATGTAGCCGTTCAAGCTGAATCTCTTCCAGCGCTTTGTTGGAAGGGGTTTTTTGGCTAAAAACAAGAACTACTGAGGCCAAATGCGCACCTAATGCAATATGTATAGCGGCAGTTGGGCAATCATCTGTCCCGTGTACCGATGAAACGATGGAATTTGCTGAACCAGCGCCAATAATACCGAAACGCATTCGTGGTGTCTTCAGCACATCAATGTTCACATCCGAAATATCTTTTCCCACCTCTTCTTGTGTCCTGAAAACCGCAAAATTTTTATCAAAAACAAAAAAAAAATTTTGGAAAATTTGCATTTTTTTGAAGGAAACCCCTAATATACAGCAATTACAACACATGCAATGGCTGCTTACTCTACTAGCGCTTGCGCAACTCCCAAGGGAGAGTGGAATTTTAATTAAATTCGAAGCGAATCCTGATGATTTCTGGGATTAAACCCCAGCAATGTGAAGCTTTACAAATGCAAACGGTCTTTTATGAATTTAAAAGAAACCTTTTGCGCAACACATGGACTTTTTTCCAGTTCAAAACAAATTATGCTCGTCCATACATATATCTTCTCAAAACATTTCTATAAAAACCTCATCCACCAGTTTTGATTGATGTTTACAGCTAAGGGATGAAACACAGACAACTGCATCTGGACAATCCCTCATACAAATGGCAGTTTAAGGTCAATTCCTTATTTCTTATCTTACTAATTCATCATTTTTCCTTCATTATTTCCAATAATAACTTCATTACTGTCGAGATTGCTAAATCTCGATTTCACAATAATTGTATAAAATATGTATTTTTCTAACATGTGGGTGTCTACTTCCTTTTATGCTTTATTTCCTTCCGCGCGGCACTGTTCTCCTCATGCATTTTCGTCTTCAACAAAGGAAGATGCTGGGTCGACAGATGTTACGACGGCGCTTATCCCTCCCTTTCTCTTTCATTCCAACGGATTCGACGACGGAGAACGGTGGATCGACAACAACGGATGGCTACGCGCGATGAAACGACCAGGCATCATTGCCTTTCTTCCAATATTTTTTAATGCGTGTTATATTCTTGCGTTTACGTATATCCGCTTGTGTTGCGTATATCCGCTTGTGTTGCGCTTGTGTTCCGCTTGTGTTGCGCATATTGTATTTATATAATAAAGGTTATATTACCCAAGTTTGAGGTAACTGACGACACAACGAGTGGGTCTGCGGTTGTTTAATACTGTACGACGGAACAATGTTAGCTGACCTAAGAATCAACGCTTGGTGGTATTTACGCTGTCTGCTAGCCACTAGAAGTTGGGGAATTTAGCAACATTTACTAGCAGTATAATTACCCAGCCTGCGCGCACTGGAGATAATTGAGGGTACGAACCAGAAATACAATTAATTATTTGTTGTGGGATAAAGCGACCTGAGGAACCAACAAAACAGATCCTCCCCACAATAATTACCTTCTGGTTATAAAAAAATTTTTCGCTTCTCAATTTTACAAAAAAAAAGTGGGGAAAAATGAACCTGCAGACAATAGCTGATAAGCATTCGTTGAAAAGGCCATCGCCACCAACCGAGACAACACCATCAATCGTTGTCCACTGTGCTGGATCCAGCTGTTTCAGGTAATCAAATGCATGATTGGCACGTTGTGTCATCACAACATCACATTGTATATTGCTCATTTGCAGGATTTTTTCAACCTAAAATTTTTTTTTTAAGATTTTAGAAACTTTTATATAAGATAATTGAAAAAAAGTACAAAATCTTCCCGAAATAAAAGTCCCTCCTACAAATTGCTGCATTAAATGTAATTCGAATTTTGCGCTAAAATTTACATCATTCTGAAGTATCAAAAATCATCGTACCTGTCGTGAATAAATTTTTTTCGCCTTTCCTTTACCACCATATGGATTTACAAATACCAGCAATGTTTTCGGCCTCTGCTCCAATTCTACAACATAAAATTGCTAAAAAAAAAAAAGAAATCAATGACCTAATAACCTAAATGATTACAAGATGTTTATTCAAAATCATCATTTTGACCTGAAAACTATCATCCCTAGGGCGACACTAAGGCATCTTATCGGCTCGAAGAAGGTGAAGATCTTCAAATCTACAGGTTTGAAAAAAAAAGGGTTTTGTTTATAACAAAAACCAAACACATATAGCAAAAAAATTTGGCAACGTTTTCAGGCGTACATCAGAGAATAGAGCAATTTTAGGCAACTATAAATGGTTGAAATGTACGCCAGAAAAAGAAGTTGGGCTGGTCATGTAGCAAGGATCTCAGACAACCGATGGACG